CTTCTTTTGCACGCAACACGCGCGCTCTCATTCACATGCAAGTGCACCACATGCATGCGTGCATGTGCTGGTGCCGTGCAAAAATACAAGGGTGGGGGCGGAGGGGGCGCGCTAGATTGTGGGGGGGGACGAGGTTGGCTCGCTGCGGAAGGGGGACGGGGGGCGTGCGCGCCGCTGGTGTCGTTCGCCCCCCAAAAAAGGGTCGGGGCGGAGGGGGCGCGCTGGCTGGTGGGGGCCGAGGAGGCGGTGGACTGGTTGCAGAGGGGTCGACGGGGGACGTGCGCGGCGCCGGTACAGTGCCGAAATGAAGGGGGTCGGGGCGGAGGGGGCGCGCTGGCTGGTAGGGGAGGGAGAGATGGTGGGTTGGCTGCGGATGGGGGGAGGGGGGGCGTGCGCGGAACCAATGCCGTCGGAAAGGAAGGGGTCGGAGCGGAGGGGGCACGCTGGCTGGTGGGGGAGGAGGAGCATGCGGGCTGGCTACGGAGGTAGTCGGGGGGGGCGTGCGCGGCGCTGGTGCCGTGCCAAAATGGTGTAGAATATAAAGATATCGATCCAATCTAATTGAATTGAAATGGGCCCTGGCGGATTTGGGGATCCCCTGGCCCCATGGCTTCAAACAAAAACGCCCCAGATCGTTTCATGGGCCTCCCTCGCCAGAAGCCTCCGACGGCTCAACAACCTCCCGAACGTCCCAACGATGGCCCAATACACCCCTGGATGGCTCAAACATAGCCCCAGGATGGATTTGAGGTGATCCCCAAAGGCTTCAAGATGGCTCTGCACGAGGCCCCCGAAATGCAAATTCACCACAACCCAATGGATCCCAGATGTTCTCCACTTTTAAATTCAAGATGACTCTCAAAAGGACCCCAGAAGCGCCCGAGAGATCACACAAGAGCCGCCAACATGGCCCAAGACCTCCCCAATATGCCCCAAGATGGCCTCCACCAAAGTTTAAAGAACCCCGAGATGCACCCGAGACCCCCCATTGTGGCGCCGTGATGACACAATATTCAACAAGAGGGGCTCAAGAGAGCCAAATGCAGAAATGTGCGTCAGAATGTTTTGATCGCTGTTTTCCCAAAGCTGTCCGCCACCATGCCGCCAACCACAAGGTGTAGTGTCTTGAATATCCTTGAATTCTCTGGGTTAAATCCGCCGACCCTGACGGTGTGTGTAAGGGGCTTTTCCGTTTGCGTCGTCGTCGTCGCCGCTCCCTCGAGCAACGTCGTAGAAGAGTCGAAGGGAAGCCCCTTCCCTGCGATCCCTTCCCTCTAGGGGGGTGGGTTGTGGGGTGCAAGTGCTGGGAGTTGTGCCGCTCCCCCAGGGGCGGGGTGGGGTGGGGGGCGGGGTGCAGCGCGGATCCCGGGGAAGTCCCCGAGGTTTTGCCTCCCCCTCCAGGGGGCAGCATCCCTCCCTGACGGAAGCTTTCGGCTCCAAAGCGTCAGCGTCAGCGCCGCTGTGGTCATGGCCGTCGCCGTCGCCGTCGCCGTCGCCGTCGTCGTCGTCGTCCTCGTTGTCGTCGTCGTCGTCGTCGTCGTCGTCGTCGTCGTCGTCGTCGTCGTCGTCGTCGTCGTCGTCGTCGTCCCCCTGCAGGGTCGGCGGCACCGGGCGTCAGGCCTTCGCAAAAATGCTTCTGAAAGGGCCTGGGGCTCGGACGTCGGGGACTGCCTGAGCGCTTCTGGGGATCCCCGCGTGACCTGCAGAAGTCTCGAGACTATGGTTGGGATTCTGCACTTCCGGCCTGCCGTAAGATGATCCCAGGGCCCATGCCGGAGACCTCTTGGGCGCCTCTTGGGCCGTCGCGGAGGCTCTGGGGGCTGGGCCAAGAGCCATCATCGACCACCTTAGGGTTTCGTATAATGTTCGAGTGTTTGGCTTCGGTCTTAAACAGCGTGGACGACGGCCCAAGAGGCTCCGAATATCGCCACGATCGTGTATGATCCGCCGCCGTGTCCCCTGGCACGTTGAGGCGTGGAAGAATGCCAAGGTTTACCTGGCAGAGTTCGTTGGATTCGAAGAAGGGGCTGCCCCTCCCTCTACCAGCAGACTCCTGCGCGCACAGCCCTTCCTCTCCAAGGCCACTTCCCTCGTTCCCGCCCGAGGGCAGCCAATGCCAAATCCCCCATTCCACGCGTGCCCGCTCGAGCATGGTGCACTTCTCCCGCGTGGCGGCAAATGCCTCAGTCCACGCGCGCCCGCTCGAGGACTGTGCACTTCCCGCGTTGCAGCTCATGCCTGAGCTCCCCTTCCACGCGTGCCCGCTCGAAGATGGTGCACTTCCCGCATGGCAGCTAATGCCTGAACCCTCAGTCCATGCGTATCAACTTGGCGATTGCACACGTCCCGCGTTGCAGCTGGTGCCTTAACCCCGCTTCCACGCGTGCCCGCTCGAGGATGATGCACTTCCCGCATGGCAGCTGATGCCTGAAGCCTCATTCCACGCGCGCCCGCCCGAGCATTGTGCACTTCCCGCATGGTTGCTACCTCCTAGACCCCTCATCCCACGCGCACCCGCTCGAAGATCGTGCACGTCCCGCACTCCCAGGCGCTGCTCCCAAGCGCTCAAGGGCCACCCAAGCCACGATTCCTCGTGAAAAACAATCCTGGCGAAAGGCCCAGTTGTGAATGCCGCGGTGGTGCGCATCCTCTTCGGTGGAGCTCCCGATGGAGCCCGAAACGTGTGAGAGGTGTGCCGGAACGGGTGTGGTGGTGCCACGTGGGCGCTGCCACTGGGGCCTTTGGTGGAGCTCCCTATGGGGCCACCAAACGTGTGAGCTGTGTGTTGACAAGGGCGCGGTGGTGCCATGCGGGCGCTGCCACTGGGGCCGCAGGTGGAGCTCCTTATGGGGCCCGAAAAGTGTGAGGGCTGTGCCGAAAGGGGCGCGGTGGTGCCATGCGGGCGCTTTCATTGGGGCCTTTGGGCACGAAACGTGCGAGGGACGTGCCGAAACGGGTGCGGTGGTGCCATGCGGGCGCTGCGTCTGTGGCCTTAGGTGGCGCTCTCTATGGGGCACGAAACGTGTGAGGGGTGTGCCGACACTGGCGCGGTGGTGCCATGCGGGCGCTGCCACTGGGGCCCCAGGTGGAGCTCCTTCTGGAGCCGCGAAACGTGTGAGGGGTGTGCCGGAACGGGTGCGTGGTGCCATGCGGGCGCTGCCACTGGGGCGTGCAGCTTCATATGGGGCCCCGATTCGTTTGAGGGGAATGCCGAAACGGGCGCGGTGGTGCCATGCGGGCGCTGCCACTGGGGCCCTAGGCGGAGCTCCTTATGGGGCGCGAAACGTGTGAGGGCTGTGCCGAAACGGCTGCGGTGGTGCCATGCGGGCGCTGCCTCTGTGGCAACGCAGTGGTGCCATGCGGGCGCTGCCACCGGGGCCTCAGGTGGAGCTCCTTATGGGGCGCGAAACGTGTGAGGGGTGTGCCGAAACGGCTGCGGTGGGGCCATGCGTGCGCTGCCACTGGGGCCCTAGGCGGAGCTGGCGGGAAGAGGGAGGAGGAGGAGGGGAGGAGGAGAGGAGGAATGAAGGAAGGAAGGAACGCGGGGCGCTGTCTCTTCAAAATGAAGACCCGATACCACAGGATGGTTGGGAATGACAACACGCGTACAGCTTCGCACGAATAACATTACAAAACAAATGACACGTGCTCTGCACCTTGAGAGTTCTCCCGGCCAACGTCCACTACGCATATCCACACCGCGTGCGTCCATCACGCATGTGCCCCAGAATGCCAACATTCTCCGCCACCGCGCTTCCAGCGGTGTGTGTGTGTGTGTGTGTGTGTGCGTGTGTGTGCGTGTGTGTGTGTGTGTGTGTGTGTGTGTGTGTGTGTGTGTGTTTGTGTGTGTGTGTGTGTCGGACCTTTCCTTTTTCCATTACTTAGAGGCCTCCCAACGCATCGAACCCAGCATCCTTTGATTTGCTCCAGCAAGTCACTGTTTTTTTTCCGCCTTCCGACAAAAGTTGCTCCCGACAACGAAGGTGCGGGTAGCCGGGTGCAGTGCACCCCCCCTCCCTCCCACCCCGCCGCCTCCCCTCCCCCCCAAGCCCCCCAAGCGAACCCCCGGCGCCCACCCGAGCAGTGGCGGAATCGCGCCGCAGCACAGCTGGATAATCGAATCCCGCCCGCTCTTTAGGGCGTGAGTCGTTTAGCGCGTTTCCTCTTCCAACTCCCTCGTTCCCCGTCTGGGAGGGGTTTACCCCTTCCCCTGCTCCCTCCCCTCGGGTCTGGATGTGGGGAGGGGTCGCGGGTCGTTGGAGCGTCCAAGATGGCCTCGGCGAGAAAACGCAAATTATTGATTTTAGTGGGGCTGTCTTGGGTCGATCTTGAAATCTTCTTGGGCCGTCGTGGGCTTGGTGAAAGTCCAAGAGGCGAATTTGCTGAAAATGTACGTTTTCCTTTGGGAATGGGACGGTTTTTGCTTCTGGAGGGCCTCTTGGGACGCCTCTTGGTGCCTTCTTGGGGCGTCTTCGGGGCCTTTAGGACCGTCCGGAGGCAATCTTGAGCGTCTTGGACGGATCTTTCGGTTTTGGACCCATTTTGGCCACCTGGGGGGGTCCCTACTTGGACCTCCACCTTTTTTGATCGATCTCTTCCTATGGCCCCAAGATGGCCCCCGAGGCTCCCAAGAGTGCCCCAAGAGGGCTCCAAGATGCGCCCATGAGGCCCCGATGAGCCTCCAACAGGTCCACAAGAGGCCCCCAAGAGACCCCCAAGAGGCTCCCCCGAAGTGCTCAAGACGCTTCAAGAGGCCGCCGGAACCGCCAAGAGGCCCCCAAGACGGCCCGAGAGGCCCACAACCAGCTGCCGCGAGACATCCGAAGAGACTCCGAGAAACATACAAAAGGCCTCTGGCCTTGCTGCTTGCCCTCTGCGAGCGGCTGCGATCTGCAGTCCTCGATCCTTACGCACTAAGGGGACCCGACCTGGGCTCGCAGGCTCCCTGCAGGCCATTCTTTGAGGCCTGGGGAGGGCTTCCCTTGTGTGAGCTTATTAGTTGCCTTCCTCCCCGCGCTCTGACTTCTGGGATGGGATTGGCAAGCTTCCTTAAACTTGCGGGAGGCCCGAACCCTCCAGGACCCACACCTTCGACACCACAAGACCCCCCGACAGAACGCAAGATGTGGTTCGTGGCTGGGGTGGATGTTCGAGCCTCCGTCTGAACTGCTAGCACCTCCTATGGCCGTGAAGCGATCTGCCCGCATGAGCTGCTGGCGGACGGAACGGCTGGCTGGCTTAAATCACGACTGCTGCTGCTTATGCCCTGCTGGCTGCGGGCGTGGAGGGGCTTCGGGCGTATACAAGCCAGGCGCAACCGCCGAGCAACTCGACATCTTTGCGTCCGCTTCTGGCACCTGCTGCGCCTCTCAAGAACGCTGCTTCGGATCGGGCCCGCCGTCTCTCTCTCTCTCTCTCTTGGAGTCGGCGGCCTCTTGCTGGACTGGATAATGTGTCCACCAAAACATCTGAACTGCGGCGGGCTTCCCTCGGATTTGCTCTGCAATCACATCCAAAGCCTCGACCCTTTGGGCCAGGTCGGGAGGAACGGCGGCCCGCCCAGCAGATTCGTCAGGTAGCTCGTCGGCCTTCGCAGTGGCAAGGACCGCCCAAACTGAATACTTCGCCCGCTCCGCGGGCGTGGACAGGTGGGTCTTGACATAAACATCGGAGATTTGGCCTGTCCGAGCGCCTAGGACTGACCAATACTACTGCCAAAACCGTCGGTTGGAAGGAGGTCTCCGCTGGGCCCTTTCCTGTGCCCTCTGACTAGATAAAGGGAACATGTAACTGTAATGAGGCCCCCCTCGGTGTGTCGGAGGAGCTCAATGGCATCCTTTCATTCGGCCCTATTTACAATCTGTACCCCTACTACATTTCCCAGGAGTGCCCCCAGGAGGTTCAAATCTTCAGACCGCACCCCAACTCCCCATCCCACTCGCCTAAGGCGGGGTTCCTTGGACTTGGGGCCCCCTGAGCCATCCACCGCGCCTAGCCGCCAGCCACCGCTGGGCGCGGAGGGGTCCAGGGAAGCCCCTGTCCCTTGCAGGACGGGGTGCTGGGGCGTGTTCGCTTCTGATGCTGTCAAAGCGAGTTCGGCTGGAGTGAGACCTCGTAACCAAAGGCGCTCTGGCTGATCATCTCCAAGGGCCATATATATCAAGTCCTGGGTTTCTTGGATTCGAGGGTGTCCTACTTGGAAGATAAGTGGGCATCCCCACACCTTGTGCCTATCATCACAATGGTGCTATCCGCAGATCGGGCAATCGCTGTCTTCCTGCAGGCCATTATCGAAGCGACGTCGGGGACCCCAGGCTGAGCAACTTCCAACGGCCTTGAACGCCTTCGCGAGGTGCTGGTGTCCGTCGCGATAGAGCCGTTCGATCTGCCATCTGGAACTGCGGATGTCGACTCCTGCCTGGCACCCGCCTGAATTGTGCCCCGTCTGGGCCGCACTCCAAACCTGCTACTTGCCCTCCTCCTCCTCCTCCTCCTCCTCCTCCTTCTCCTTCTCCTTCTCCTCCTCCTCCTCCTCCTTTTTTTCCCTCCTCTTCCCAATCCGCCTATTCCTCCTCCTCCTCCTCCTCTTTTGGGGTGTGACTTTTCACCCAGCCCTTTATTCCACTGCATGCTCCTCCACATCCCTGATCAAGGCAACTCGTCTGGGCACCGTTTCTGCATGGTCTGGTGGGGTAACGAGAAGCGTCTAGAAGTTATATTGTGCCATTTGTCCAAAAAGAAACTGGAAGTCACGAGCGCCTCTGCGCAACGCGCCTGGACATATGCCAGACCGCGCTTGTACTTGCACCAGTCCGCACCCTCCGGTAAGCAAAGCTCTGAAACTGATAGCCGATAATGTCACAGCGCCAATGGTTTAGCGAAAATAGTGCCATTCCGCTGGAGACGGGGAGGCACGTCCGTGGCCCTTGCCACAGAAACCCATACCACATGGCAGCCCCAAAAGTGGTATAAGCGCAAAGAAAAACTGCCTTCTCGGAGGTGGCAGACGCCCAGTGGCTGTACCTCTGCCGACTGTCCAATCTCATCTTGCAGTCATCGGCGTCCGACACGTCGGACACGCAGCACTTCGCAGCAACCATGAATCGGCGCATCTCTGATGAAAGAAATGGGTGCATGGGAAGCGCCGGACACGGTCCCGAAGACGAAAACTCTCCAAGCAGATGCTGCAATCATCGTTGCCCTCGTCAGGTTCGCCATGAAGCATTGCCCTTGTAACTTTCTGCCTGGGGAGGGCATCGATAGCGGCTTGAGAGAGTCCTGCCACGGCAGCCTGGACTTCATTCTCGCTCTCCTCCTCCTCCTCATCCTCTGCGTCATCCTCGCTGTCCTCGGCCTGTTCTTCGCCACGATCCCAGACGCGGCCAGCTTGGTCCCTCCAGAGCATGAAGCTGCAGCTGCTGTGGCCACCAGGGCGCCAGTTCGGGCAGCCATAGAACCTCCTTCCTGGGTTCCTGGCCGTCCCGCTCGTCCGCAGGACTGACGCGGGACCGCCCGCGCACCAGCACGCAGGGCCCATCTCATCGACCCAGGCGAAGTAGTCGCAGTCGCTGCACGTGAAGAAGTCCCTGTCGGGGTTCCTGGCCGTTCGGCTCGTCTTTCGGCTCGGCCCGTCCGGCTCGCCCTCGAGGCCGCAGCGGCAGCGGGCGATCCCCCGCAGAGGCATTGCCGAGAGACCGAGGTCACACCCACCAGATCCGAACCCCGCGACGTCCCCCCTTATCAGACCTCGTCCTCTGGGAAGTGTGCGTGTGTGTGTGTGTGTGTGTGTGTGTGTGGAAAATGCTGGCAGAGGGAGAAGGGAGCGGGAGGAGGAGGAGGAGGAGGAGGAGGAGGAGGAGGAGGAGGAGGAGGAGGAGGAGGAGGAGGAGGAGGAGGAGGAGGAGAAGGAGGAGGAGGGAGGAGGAGGAGGAGGAGGAGGAGGACTAAGAGGAGGAGGCGGAGGAGAAGGAGGAGGAGGATGAGGAAGAGAAGCAGCAGGAGGATGATGAGGAGGATGAGGATGAGATGATGACGAGGAGGAGGAGGAGGAGGAGGAGGAGGAAGGAGGAGGAGGAGGAGGAGGAGGAGGAGGAGGAGGAGGAGGCAGGAGGAGGAGCAGGAGCAGGAGCAGGAGCAGGAGGAGGAGGCGGAGGCGGAGGCGGATGAGATGAGAGGATGAGGAGGAGGAGGAGGAGGAGGAGGAGGAGGAGGAGGAGGGAGGAGGAGGAGGAGGAGGAGGAGGAGAAGGAGGAGGAGGAGGAGAAGGAGGAGGAGGAGGAGGAGGAGGAGAGCGTGGGACAAGGCGGGGGAGAATGCCCAGATGTGGCTTCCGCGGAAGGGGGGAGGGCAGGGCCCGGTGGCCGCAACGTGCGTAGAGGCCTCTGGATGGCCCCGGTGGGCCCGGCGAACCGACGCCTCGAGCCAGAGTGGCAGCGGAAACTGCCCCGCCCGTCCGCCGTTGGGCGGCACACGGCGTGCGGAGAGGCCTCTTCCAGATAACTCCTGGTGGTGCTGGCCCTCCTTCCTCTTCCTCCCGTTACACCCCCCTGGGTGCTGGTGCTCGAACTCCTGCCGTTTTTCGTGCTCCGCTTGCCCCTGGCAGCCGCTTTTCGCAGCATCGCGGCGACGCCGGGGGCAAAACTGCTGCTGCTGCTGCTGCTCTGGAGCTCTGCGAGAATATAGGTCGTGCTGGTACAGCCTACCCGAACCAGACGACCGCCGAAAGGTTGCGACAGACTCGCTGGACTATTCATCGCCTCTGATGGGCGGCATGTCCCTCGTCCTCATCGTATACCACCCCTGTCACATCAATCCATCCCCATTCCCTCGAAGGACTGGAGGCGCAGGGTGAGCATCAGCTCATGCTGAGGTTGGGTGGGGACGGATGGGAGTGATGATGACGGTGTCGAGGACGGGGAGAAGTAGGGAGGTGCCTCCTGCTTGCCCCTCCCCCATCTCCCTCTTCGCTCTCCACCCCTCTCCCCATTCCTGTTCTTGCCTCCTCCTTCTGCTGCTGCTTCTGCTGCTGCCTGCTGATATCGTCGCAGCAAATCCTGCTGTTGGAAATCCTTGGGGTCCCCTGGCAGTCCTGCGGCGCACTAGCTGGATCGCCTCTGGAGCTCCCACGAGCTTTCTCGCCCCCCCCCCGCACCCCCTCCCACACCACGGGGCCCCCCCTGGCGCCATATTGAAAGGATATCGGGGCCCTCTTGGGCCTTCGTGGGGCCTCATCGGGCTTGGTTTGGCCCCCCAGTGGGGTCCTCACATTAGACGGTCTCGTGGCCCACTTGGGGCCATCTGTGCGGCCCGCGGATGACATCCCGCCGCGAACGTGCGCTCAACGTTCTCCCCTTTCTCCCACCACCTCCTCCAACGCATTATCATCTGCCCCCTCCTGTCCTGATCCTGCCACACCTCGTTGTCGTCCTCGCCCTCCTTGTCCTCGTCTTTCTCAACGTGATCTTGTCCCCCTCCTCCTCCTCCTTCTTCTCCTCCTCCTCCTTCCCTTCCTCTTTCTCCTCCTCCTCCTCCTCCTCCTCTCCCCTCTGGAGCCCATCTCCTCCAATCTCCTTCTCTCCCTCTTGAACCCTTCTCCTCCAGTCCTTATCTTTCTTCCTCGTCCTTCTCCTACAGCATCACCATCGTCGCCTGCACCGCAAGCACCAACGCCGCCATCGCCACCGCAATCACCACCATCAACATCATCACAATCGTAACCACCACCAACATCATCATTGCCACCATCACCATCCTTATCACTATCACCGTCGAACTCACCATCATCACCACCACGGTATTCATTATCATCGTCATCACCATCGCCATCACCATCACAATCACCACCACCATCACCATCACCATCATCATCATCATCATCATCATCATCATCATCATCATCATCATCATCATCAGCATCATCATCATCATCGTCACCGACATCGCCATCATCACCAGCATCACAATCATCATCATCACCATCATCGTCATCATCAATGTCATCCTCACCGTCATCGCCATTCTCATCATCATCATCATCACACCCCACCACCACCGTTGTCATCATCTTCGTCACCAATCTCATCGTCGCAATCAACATCATCTTTAGCATCATCATCATCGACACCATCGTCAACATCCCAGCACCACCACCGTCGTCATCTTCATCACCAACATCCTCCTCCTCATCATCACCATCACTACCGTCATCACCATCATTATCATCATCATCACAGTCGACATCACCACCATCAGCATCATCACCAGCATCATCATCATAACCAGTATCATCGTCACCATCATCGTCATCATCATCATCATCATCATTATCATCGTCGACATCGTTATAATCATCACCACAGCCATCATCATCAGCATCATCAGCATAATAGTCATCCCCATTCTCATCCTCATCCTCATCATTATCATCATCGTCATCCTCATCATCACAATCATCATCACCATCGTCATTAACGCGCTGCCACCACCACCGTCGTCGTCGTCGTCGTCGTCGTCGTCGTCGTCATCATCATCATCATCGTCATCATCATCATCACCATCGTCATCACCGTCGTCGTCGTCATCATCATCATCATCCCGCTGATCCTCCTCCTCATCTCCCGCATCCTTATCCTCATCCCCATCCTCGTCATCCTCCTCCTCCCCCTCATCGTCATCATCATAATCATCATCACCACCATCATCGTCATCATCATCCTCATCCTCATCCTCGTCCTCGTCGTCGTCGTCGTCCTCCTCCTCACCCTCACAATCACCCTCGCCCTCCCCCTCCTCCTCCTCCTCCTTCTCCTCCTCCTCCTCAGCACTATCATCTCCATCATCACCATCATCATCATCATCATCATCATCATCATCATCATCATCATCATCATCATCAGCATCAGCACCAGCACCAGCATCAGCATCAGCATCAGCATCATCATCATCATCACCATCACCATGACCATCATCATCATCATCATCATCATCATCATCATCATCATCATCATCATCATCATCATCATCATCATCATCATCATCATCATCATCATCATCATGGTCGCCATCGTCATCGTCATCGCCATCGTCGTCGTCATCGCCATCATCAGCATCACTGTCATACGTATCCTCGTTGTCATCGTCATCATCATCGTCGTCGTGATCGTCACCGTCGTCGGCATCATCTTCATCATTATCACAGTCAGAATCACCATCGTCGTCGTCGTCGTCAGCATCCCCATCATTCTCCTTCTACTCCTCTGGATTCCTAATCCTCATTCTCTCCCTCCATCGTCGTTCTCATCCAGACACCTCCTCCTCCCCTTCCTGCTCCTTCAATCCTACTTCTATTCTTCCTCCTCCTTCCCTCTTCCGTTCCTTCTCCCTGTCCTTCTCCTATCCTCCTCTTGTAGTCGTCGTCCTCCTCTTCCTCCTCTACCCATTCTTCTCTCCTTCCTTATTCTCCACTCTCTGCTTCCCATCCCCCCGATCCCCCCCAATCCATCTCCTCCTATCGCCTTCGTCCTCCCTACTTCTGCCCCTCCTCTTCCTGCCCTCCCGTCCTCCTCTTCCTCCTCCTGACCTCCTGACGTCCTCCTGTCCTCCTCTTTCTTCCCCTCCTCCTCATCCTCCTCCCCCCGCTGCCTCCTCCATCTCTATTTCCATCTCTTTCCGTCTCCTCTTCCTCCTTCTCAGCCTCCACCTCCTGCTCTTCTTCCTCCTCCTCCTCCTCCTCCTCCTCCTCCTCCGCTTCCTCATCCCTTCTTGCACCGTCGACCGCTCTGTATCTGTACCTGTATCCTCCTCCTCCTCCTCCTGCGCCTCCCCGCATCCTCTCTCCCTCCTCATATCCTCCTCCTCGTCCTCATCCTCCCCCTCCCCTCCTCCCTCTTCTTCCTCCCCGCTCTCCGTAGCCATTTTGGCTCAAGCCACTGGGCAGGAGTCGGCCGCGGCCTGGCTCCTCCATGGAGTCGGGGCCAGCAGCCGCTGCGGCTGGCTGCCGTCCCCCCGGCGGCGCAGGCCGTGCTGGGAACAGTGCTCAGCTTCAAGTTGGCCAACCTCGAGGGCAAGCAGCGGCAAAGTTTTTTATTATTTTTTTTGTTGGTTGTTTCTTGTTTAAAAAAGGGGAGGCGAACGCCCAGGGTGGCACAGTTGCACAGTGCAGTGGCAACGGCGGCGCGCGGCTCAGGTCAGGTCAGGGTTGCGCCCTCTGCGCCGGTCTCCGGAGAAGGTGCAAACGCAACCTCGTAGAGGCGCCTTTCTGAGCAGCCGGAGGCACTGCCGAGCCGAAGTCAAGATCGGCGCGGGCCTTGACGGGAAGTCTTCGCTGACGCAGGCCAACTCCTTCCTGCGGGAGAGGGGGGCGGGCCAAGCGGCATCGCGCCTTGGACGGCCAACCGACTCCAGGATGCGTCTGGCCATCTGGACGTCTCCCTGCAGGGTGACTGACACAAGATCTTTGAGAGCGGGATCGACTCGGTGGGTACCGGTGCAGGTGGAGGTGA